TTTGAAGTCTCTCAGCCCCACTCACCTCACAGAGTGTTTGTTGTGGGGCAGGAAGGGAAAGGAGATTGTTAGCCGCTTTGAGACTCCTGAAGGGCAGTGAAAGGCGGGATATCAAATCCAAACTCTTCCTCTTCTTCTTCTTCTTTCCAGCTCTCTGCCTTGCTTGCTGGGCAAGGCCCGCTTAGCCCACAGCCTCTGGGAGTACAGGGGATTCTCCCTGTCTCCCTCTTACCCAGCAATGTGCGATTTCCCTGTATTTGCAGAACCCTTAGCAGTGAACCTCTGCATAACATGCAATTGTGCTGCACAGATTTCTGCAAGCTTGCCTGGGAGCCTTTTGGGCTAAGTGGCAGAGCGGCAGTGCCGCAAAGCAGATCCTGCCAGCTTCCTCTGAGCAGTGGCAGCCGCCTCAGGGTGTCGGGATGGAGCTTTGCAGGGGGCTGCGCTATGCTGTTGTGTGTCCCACTATTTTGCTGCGTGTGACACGACTCCAAGAAACCCTCGGAAGGAAGTTTAATTTAGCCCCACTCTGCATGCGCTGTTCCTCTCCTGCCACGGCAGCCCAGGGATTCCCCACATGGGGGGCCACAGCATGGCTCCTGAGACCACACCTGTGACTGCAGGGCCAGCGTGGGTCTGGGGGCACAGCAGGAGTGGAGCAGGAGCAGGGGACGTGCCCGTGTGCCAATGTGTGGAGACGCTCCTCGGCTCGGCCCCCTTCCGTGCAGCTTCCATGTAAAATGCAGTTTCACTCCGAACGCCTCCGTGTCTCGCCTGCGGGTCCCAACTGGCTGCAGGGAGTCCATGTGGAGTTTTGCAAACGGGTTTGTGTCCCAGGTCTCTGCCTCTCAGGTGTGGGGGCTGTTGATTTGGCTGGGATTCCAGGCTCCATCCTGCCCTCATTCCCGGAGTTCCCTCTGAGCGGCTGCATCCTTCTGGTCAGTTTCCTCGTCTGCTTGCCTGGAGAGCTGGAAGGGGGTTCATCTGGCTGTGGCTTGCCTGCCTCATCCTGCACTAGCCTTTTGGCTGCGCCTTGGGCCTTTTCCTGGGTCTGTGCTCTGGTGCTGAGTCCCACCCTTCCATTCCTGGGAGCCTCTGCTATGTCTTTGCTGTTGAAAATCCCCCCTGGGGATGTGAGTGGTATTTAAATCTGTCTAAGGCAGCCAAGCACAGACCCTCTTCCTTGCGAACCTTGAATCTCAGGAGGCGTGTGGGTGAAAAACCACCAGCAGACCTTTGTTGGCAGAAAAGGAAAATGAGGTTTTTCTGCCTTGCCTTTCTGCATCTTGCAAGAGAAACCCCACGAGGAGGTTTTCCATTGTTTTCCTTCCTCCCTTCCCCATCTGGGGCTGGAACCTTTGGGGAGTGCTTTGCCGTAACAACTGCAGGCTGCGTTTCGGGATCCGCAGGGCTGCTGCCCACACCTTTCCCTGGAGGAGATTAAGTCCCTGCTGCTCTTGGTGGCAAAGAGGAAGGTCTCTGCCATCAAGGAATGTTGACCTCTAGTCCGTCAGCATCTTTCCCCCAATATCTGCATCAGGGTGTATGTTGGAAAAGGGGTGCGGAAAACAGGAGGTGGGAACTCCCTGCTGCGGCCACTTTCGTGCTAGGATCCATATTTGCGGTGGTCTTTCTCAGTGAAATCTTGAATCCGTTTCTATGTATTTACAGACATGCTTCTAGGAAGTGGTGATGAGGGAAACAAAGCAGACAGGCTTGGAGTTTCATCCTGCAGTCAAAATCTTGCTGCTGCAACAACAACCTCCCCCCCTCCCTTTTGTTTTTCCTCCTTGGGGCACAAGACAGCAGTCGTCAGGATTCAGCCCCAGCATCCCAATACTGGGAAAGCCCAGTGTCCCAGGGGCCCCGGAGCAGAATGTCTGCCAAAGTGGGCAAGGCGAAGAGCTTTGGCCCATTCCTTCCTTGGTTGCCCAGAGCCACGTGGGGCAGCGTGCCAGGGGATTTGAACCTTGCAGCAGGCACCTCTGCCCCTCCAGGCAGGAAGGCTGTGCAACCCAAGAGGAATCCCAAGCTGAGGGTACAGTGGTACCTCAGGATCCGTTCCAGAGCCCCGTTTGCATCCTGAATGGAACGTAAGACGCGACGGCTCATCTCCACGTGCGCAGGTCGTGTTTTGCCGCTTCTGCGCATGCTCGTGACGTCATTTTGAGCGTCTGCGCATGCGTGAGTGGCAAAACCCGGAAGTAACGCGCTTCGTTACTTCCGGGTTGCCGCAGAGCGCAACCCGAAAGCGCTCAACCTGAAGCACATTCAACTCGAGGCATGACTCTATACTAAATAGGGAACACAAAGACACAAAGCTGACAGCTGGAACGAGCGAGGGCCCCTGCAGTGTAGGCCAGAAAGCCATGTCTCTGGCGTGCGCCTGACGTGCCCAGGTGGGCAGAGGCAGCCTTCCCCAATGACTCCCGCCAGCCCCAGCCAAGAGACTCCATTGCTCCTCTGAACTGCCAGATAATGCAGGGGCAGAAGGGGGTCCTTCATCCGTCTGTCGCTGGGAGACCCTCATCACTGCAGGCTGGCAAGCTGCAAACAAGAAAACTCCATCAACTCCTGGTTTGACCTTGAGGCTCCTCTAGATACCAGAGTCCCTGCTGTGGATTCCCTGCCTGTGCTGGCATGTGGCTTGTGATGGAGCAGGATCTGGTTGATCACTAAATCCTGAGCAAACTCCTCTCAGAGGCCAGTTGAGGCTGGCTGAAAGCAGACCCAAAGGTCTCCGTTTGGGTCTTAGGAGAGGCAGTGCCGTGGGGGGGGGGGGCTGCTGCAAAAAAAAAACCCCAGGCCCAGAGAGACCCCCTGCCATCCCTCGAGCGAAGCTCTGTCGAAACCCGCTTCCCCCGACTTACTTTTGTGGGCATTGCCAGGCACCATCCGCTCCGGTGACGACACAGTTTCCATAGTAGCAAATGTGGTTCAAAGGGAGGGGGCTGTTTCTTTAAGAAAAGAATGTAAAAGAGGATAAAGACCAGATGAAACAACAGCCCAAGCTGAAGGAGAGAGGATGTGTTGGGCCTGTAAAATGTTAATGGGGTAATTATGGCATTAGTCACAAGCATTGAGGCCTCGCAGCCATGAGCCCCTTCCGGCTGGCTGTGTGACACGGTGTGCAGCTCAGCGCATAGAGAGGGGGACGCAGTCAAAGTGCTACCGTCACATGTCAAATTAGGCACGGCACTGAGATGGAAAGGGAGCGCTCCCCTCTGGCTCCTGGGGCCGAGGCCAGCGTGGGGCAGTGGATCGAGTTTGAGACCAGGACCTGGGAGACTGGGGTTCGAATCCCCTCCCTCCCACTTGGTCGTGGCCCCTCTGGGCGAACCTCAAAGGGTTGTGGGGAGGGTGGAATGGGGTGGGGAAGAGCACAAACTGGAGCTCTTTGGAGGGGAAACGGGGTGTAAATGTAGAGGAGGCAGCACTGGGGGTTCTGGGAGACTTGGGTCAGGGTCCGAAGGGTGGCAGGAGCAGAGGAAAGCCCCACAACTTTATAGAATCCTAGAATCCTAGCCTTGGAAGGGACCCTAAGAGGGCTGGGCTTCAGTCTCTAGGGCTTCTCCTAGGAGGAATAAGGCAGTCAGGCTGCTGTGCCGCCTTTTGGATTATTAAGTCTCCACCATCTGGTTCCATTGTTTCTGCACCTTCATGGCAATGGTGCCACTCTGCCCAGATCGTTCCTCTTTTGTGTCCCCTATTGGACCAGCGTGGAAACAACAGTACCAGCCAGTTTATTGATGTATCTGGGCCCCAGACATCCCCCTGGACCTCATGCCTTCCCCAGTCTTGTGCCTTCTGGATGTTGTGGACAAGCCTTGGCCGGGGCTGATTGGGGTTGCAGTCCTTCAGAACATAAGAAGAGCTTTCTGGATCCGGCCAGCATCCTGTTCTCTGGGAAACCTGCAAGCCAGAACCGGAGCACCAGAGCAGCCTTTTCCCCTCATGTGGGTTCCATCCTGGCTCTTGTAGCCTTTGAGAGCCCTCTCCTTCTCCATGAATTTGTCTCTTCCTCTTTCAGAGCCATCCAAATTGGGGGCCATCCCTTCCTCCTGTGGGAGAGAGTTCCATAGATTAACACTGTGCTGCAGGAAGGGCTGTATTCCTCCTGCCCTCAGTCTCCCAACGTCCACCTTCCTTGGGTGTCCATGAATTCCAGCATTACATGAGAGAGAGAGAACTTTCCTCTCTCGCTTCCTTCTTGCCAGGCATAATTTCCCAAGCTGCCCTTTTCTGCAGATCATCCGAAGGGCACAAGGCCTGTGACTTTTCCAGAGCCTTCCACCCTGTCCTTTTTCACTCCAGCCCAAGATTTCCTTCTCTGACATCTGTTCCATGTGGGCCACCAGCTCTGCACCCACATGTCCCCAGAGATGCCCTGTGGGCTCTTGTCTTCGCATCACTGAACACCCGCTGCAAATGCGCTGAATTTCAGGCTGGGCTTTGGGGACCAAGAGAGCCGTCTCCTGCAGGGAGACCCATCACGTCATTCCCTAAAATACTCATCTTGGTATTTTGCTCTCCAAGAACTCAGCTTACACTATTTTTGTTACTTGCTTTTATTTATTATTTGGGCTGCTCCATAACTAAAGGTTACCTGGTGGCCTTAGAGTGGGAATAAAAAGGTTTACAACAGGAGCCCCAACCATAAAACGCTTAAAAATCATGATCCAGCATAAAACTTGAGGAACAGGAAATACTACAAGCTTTAAACTAGGAACGTGTTTTGCAGGCAAGTTGGTTTGATGCCACCAGGGAACGTGGCTTTTGGGGGCGATTTGATTTAGAATCATAGAATTGTAGAGCTGGAAGGGAACTCCAAGGGTCCTCTAGTCCCTGCAATGCAGGAATCTCAGCTAAAGCACCCCTTGCATGTCCTTTTGCCTGAGCTAAGAGTTTGACGTTCCTGAGGTTGGCGCCCGCCTTCTGCTTTTGGAAGAGCTGTTCAGAAGGAGATAACTGACTCAACGGGTCTCCATCTCTTGTTTCAGGCTCAGGCCGCAGGGTCTCCTCCGACCTCCCCCGGCCACGGGACGGGGCGCTCCATGCCCATGCCAGTCCGCTCCACCTCCGCCGGCTCCACCCCAACTCACGTGCCCCAAGATTCCCTGGCGGGAGTCGGAGGAGACGTCCAGGAAGCATTTGCACAAGGTGAGCGTTTTGAGAACCCCGCGGCACTTGATAGCTGTGTGGGTGCAATTTTGCGCCTTTGTATATAGACAAATTCGTTTCATGAGTTTGGGCCCAGTTCGCCCATCAGTTAAGGTCATCTTGAATCCCGATTCTGCAGCGATAGCTACCCCTCCCATTTTGTCCTCTGCAAATTTGGGTGTTGGGTGCTCGCCTGCCAAATGCACAGGCAGAAAAATAGGACCTAAACAGCCCCACTTGGGAAGCCCCCTCAGTGCTAAGAGGAATTTTGGGTGAGTTGTCAATTAACCTTACATATATGCCTACCTACGCATAAAGAGGGGAATGTGTTAAACACGTTACCTTCTGTTAGTAATTGCATGATGCAACTCCTTTCAATTTTTCCCATTTGTATTTTGGAAATCAAATGTTTTAAAGCAACAACAACTTCCCATGCCTTTCCTTCCTGGGAACCTAATGTATTTTTCAAAATAAATTTGTAAGATCTTGAGTCTGAGAAGCACTGCTGGTCCTTGCATCCTAAAGGGGCTTCTCCGGTGCCTCCCCCTCAAGCCAGCCCACCCCCTCATTGAGCATCACAAAGACAGCCAGTGTGGTGTCTGGTTAGAGTTCCAGGACTCCAGGACTGAGAGAGACCAGGGTTTGAATCCCCACTTGGCCACAAAGCTCACTGATGTGGCCTTTGGCTGGTCACTGCCTCTCAGCTGTTTTGTGGGGATTCTATGAGGAAGAAGAGAACCATAGCAGTCTTCAAACAAAAACATCTTGGAGGTCCTGGGCCACAGGGAGGTTAGGCTGGCCTCAACCAGAGGCAGGGCCTTTTCAGTACTGGCCCCGACGTGGTAGAACGCTCCGTCACAAAAGACTAGGGCCCTGCGGGACTTGACATCTTTCCGCAGGGCCTGCAAGACAGAGCTGTTTGGCCAGGCCTTTGGCCAAGGCACAGCCTGACCCCCTCCTTTGGTAATCCTCACAAAACTCTAGCCCAATGGTTGCCATTAATTTGATTTGAATTGATTTTAAAATGAAATGGTTTTAGAATGCTGTGTTACTTTTATTGTTGTTAGCCACTCTGAGCCCAGCTTCGGCTGGGGAGAGCGGGATATAAATAAAAAATTATTATTGTTATTATTATTATTATTATATCTGCCACCTTGAGCTTCATGGAGGAAAAGATGGGATAGAAATAAATCAGGAGCCTGAATAGCAGCGGCTAGAGATAGGATCCCCCTGGCACTGTGGGTGGACGCTTCCAGGGGAGCCTCACTTTGTGGGTGCAGACTGTTCCCCTCAAGGATTTATTGGGAAGCTGGCCGTCACATCGAAGGGTCAACCGTCTCTCAGGGCAGGGGGCATTTCCGGTCCAGACTCTCAGACTCCACGTCACGGGCAAGGCAGAGGGGCAGAGGGGCCCCTGTGTGGCTCTTGGCATTCCTTACCGCCTCCGTTTCTTCCCCAGGGACCCGGCGAAACCTCCGTAACGATTTGCTGGTAGCAGCCGATTCGATCACGAACACAATGTCATCGTTGGTGAAGGAGCTTCATTCGGGTAAGTGGGAGAGTGGAGGGCAGGGGACAGGGGAAAGGGGCCAAGCCAGCGGGTTCGGCCAGCATCCTCTGGCCGAGGTGCCTGAGGCGAGGGTGTCATCAGAGCACTCTGCCCCAAGGCTTTGTTGACAAGGACCACCTGGCTCAAGAAGCCCACCTTCCTCTATTCCTTCCATAGTCCTTCCATATTCCTCTACGCCACAGGAGCGGCAAGGATCCTAATTGCTAAAAACTGGGGGGGAAGAAATTGTGCCAACGAAAAAGGAATGGCAAGACAAACTGTTAGAGTACATTGAACTGGCTAGATTAACAGAGGCAATTAGAGATCACACTAGACTAGAGTTTCAAAAAGCAGGGGGGAAATGCAGAGAATACTTCACAAAACAGTGCCCTAAAATACACACCTGGACTTGTTTTTATTAATGTCTGCAGGGGACTTTGTGGATATTTACGTTATTGTTAGAAAAATCTTAATAATCTTAATAATTATTCATAAAGGAAACAGCTTATAAGAAGTAAATAAGGAGGCCAGATACAGGATAAAGGAAGTATTTTATTTGGTTGTTTGTATTGTTGCATGTTATGTTCATGTTTAATGAGGGTGGATTTCTGTATTGGGGGGATGGGGGGTTTATGTTATGTTGTAAATAAAATTTCCAATAAAAATTTAAAAAATAAAGAAGGCCACCTGCGGTGTGTGGGGCCAACACACAGGAAGAGCGAGGTTGCACAGGGACTGCAAGCAGATGCTTCCAATTTGGAATGCCCTGTTGGGGAACTGGGGGTGGACTGCATGACCCCCTGGGGTCCCTCTTCAGTTCTCTAGTTTTGAGTTCCACTGGAACGAGCCCCATATTCTCCAGCTGCCAAACAGCTGATAGCCAAGAAACACCCTTGACCCTCAGGCAGCCACTTTCCGCATTGCAACAGGTATATGAGAAGGGAGGCCTCTGGTCCACCTGCCTCCATCCAGCTTTCCCTGCAGACTGGCCGGCTGGTGGGTTTGGGACCTGGGGGGGCGGTGAACGTGATGCCTCTGCGCTGCTTGTGGGGAACAAAACCGGGGAGAGACGACTTACTTGCAATGGAGGCAGTCAACTAGTGCTACACTACATTTTTGCAGGATTCATGTTTTGCAGGGGAAATGGCTGTTAAGTGGGGGGCAAAGATAGTTGTGGAAAAGTCACTACTTTTTGCTCAATTTTCCATGCCTGTTTGTAGCCCTGCCCTCCCCAGCCAGCCGCTTCTTTGACCTTCCTTCCTTCCTTCCTTCCTTCCTTCCTTCCTTCCTTCCTTCCTTCCTTCCTTCCCCTCCAGTGAGCAATGCCATCCAGCTGAGGACTGTGGAGCTAAACTAATTAAACTACAGAATTGCACAGCCAGCTGGGTGGCTCTGACTACCTGACAGTGTCCCTAAGTAAGGGCAGATGAAGCCTTTCCGTGAGGGAAGAGGGAGCCCAGGTCAGGCTGAGCTGGAAGTTTCATTTGCCCACAAGGACTGGCAAGAAAAGGTCCATCCCAAACCAGCTCTTGGTTGCGTGTGATTGTGCCGGCCTCGTCGTGTGTGGCTGCCAAGCCTTTGCTGGACTTAGGAGAAGTCTGCCGTCAGAATGGAGAAGCAAGTTCCCTGGATGTGCTGGGGAAACTCTTCTGAGCAGGTTGGAAGGGCCTTGGGCTAGATAAGTTCAGGTGGATGAAATCTCTTCTGGTCATACATCCAGGAGTAACTTATCTACCCGATGCGCTTTAGCAGGGAGGTTGGGTGTCTGCGGAGCCCCTCCCAGGTCTGATTCATAGAATCACAGAGCTGTAGAGTTGGAAGGGACCCTGAGGGTCATCCAGTCCAACCCCCTACAGTGCTAGAATCTCAGCAAAAGAATCGCCCAACCTCTGCCTAGAAACCTCCAAGGTCCACCACCTTCCAAAGTTCTCTTCCATTCCTTGCATTCCCAGAGAGCAGCTTGAGCCCTCCTGGTCCTTCTGGAGCACAGCTTAACAGGGGGAAGGGCTGCAAGCCCACCCCCCACCCCTGCCTTCCCTGTGGCCTCTCTGGGCCTGGAAGGAGGCCTCCCTATGTGTGGAAAATGCCCAGGCCTGTGGCAAAGGTGGCCTCTGGGCCAGTGACGAGTCCTCTGCTCCCCAGTTCTTTGCTGGAGCAGTCTCCTCCGGGGCGCTTGGTGCCAGAGGCTGCTGGCGTCGGCTCTGGCAAGATGGAGCCCTGTGTCTTCCCGTCAGGGTGGGGGCTTAGCAAGGCTGCCTCCTTCCCTCCCCTCCTCGCTCTGGGAAAAGGCAGCCTCTTGGGCAATAACATTCGGCAACAAAGCAGGGCTTGTTCTGCCGGCGGCGGCTGCGCTGAGCTCTTGGGCTGTGCAGGGAGATGACAGATGAAACAGACTGCAGGCTCCCACTTTGATAAGATGCAGGCCAGGGGACCCTGGAAAGTGTCTGGAAGGATCTCATTTGCCTAAATCCATGGAAACAGCTGGAGTCGGGAGCCTGGCCGCAGCAACCTCTGCCAGAAGGAGTCTGGTTGGAGCCCGGCGTCCGTGCCCAGGCAGGCAGGGCCTGGGGCTGCAGCTTCCCGCCCCCTGGGAAGAGGCGTTGTGCCCTGGTGGGAATCAGTGCGGGGTGCGCCAGGGCACATTGATTCCAGCAAGGAAGCAGGTGGGGGCCCCGGCTGCGTCCTCTGCGCGCCCCCCCCCCCTCCGGGAGCGAGGCTGCCTGCCCTCTTGTCTCTGGGGTGCTGGATGCAGATCCCCAATGGAAGGCCCATTGGTGGGGCAGCTTCGGGGCTGCCAAGCACAGCTGGGGGGTTCAGGGGAAAGTAGATCTTCCCCAGCACTTCCCCCCCCAGCCCCGTCCTCCTTGGGGGTCCAGGCATGCAGATTCCACTCCCCCCACCTTAGTCCCAGAGCTCCTTTTCACCTACTGGGACAGTTTCCTCTTCCTTTTGCCTTCCTGTCTTTTTCCGCTCATGCCCCTCACCCCCCTACCCCCCCCACCCCCCAGTCTGCTTCCTGGGTGTCTGAGGGAACACACACAACAACACACTCCCTCGCTGGCCCTTTAAGAAACGGACTGAGACACTGCATGTCTTTTATAGGGGGGACCTGGCCTATTTAATGTGGACATTTCCTCTTTTGCAATCGTGCTTCTTTGATGCTGACCACCCTGAACAGCCCTGGGGAGGGCTGTGGATGCTTGCCCCCCCCCCATCCTCTCTCACCTTTCCTCCTGGGAGAATGTTTTGATGTCCTTGCTTGGCGTCTGAGCTCCAGTTCTTATCACCTTGTGCCCCACACCTGTGACCCAACGACTTGGGAGCAAGGAGTCTGCCCCATAAGAAGGACTCCCCCCCCCATCCCCTGGAAGGGGCAGCAGAGTCTCTCTTGCCCACGGCCCTGGCAGCCTGACCTGCGGACCCCTCCCCGGAGACTCTCCCTTTGGCCCAAACCCTCACTGCTGGTTCTTTGTCTTGTTTTAAAAGGTGAGGAAGGAGGCGAGGAGGAGGAGGAAGACAAGATCCAGAACGGGAAGGACCGAGGTAAGATCAGGAGGGGAGGGAAATCCCCTGGCCTGTTGGTGGAGCAGGTCAAGGCGGTTGGGTAATGCCACCTTTGCACGACGGGTGCTTCCCTCCGTGTGGAGCAGGAAAAAATCTCCGTTGATGCAGAACTCCCAGGCGCAGCTCTTCACAAGCCATGGGGATGGAGGGCCGAATAATAATAATAATAATAATAATAATAATAATAATAATAATAATTTATTATTTGTACCCCGCCCATCTGGCTGGGGCTCCCCAGCCACTCTGGGCAGCTTCCAACAAAGACCAAAAATACACTAAGATGTCACACATTAAAAACTTCCCTGAACAGGGCTGCCTTCAGATGTCTTCTGAATGTCAGGTCTTTGACATCTGATAGGAGGGCGTTCCACAGGCGGGCACCACTACTGAGAAGGCCCTCTGCCTGGTTCCCTGTAGCTTTGCTTCTCACAATGAGGGAACCACCAGAAGGCCCTCGGTGCTGGACCGAGGCCATTTAGGGCTTTAAAGGTCAGCACCAACACTTTGAATTGTGCTCGGAAACGTACTGGGAGCCAATGTAGGACTTTCAGGACCAGTGTTATGTGGTCTCGGCGGCCGCCTCCATTCACCAGTCTAGTTACTGCATTCTGGATTAATTGCAGTTTCTGGGTCACCTTCAAAGGTAGCCCCACGTAGAGCGCATTGCAGTAGTCCAAGCGGGAGATAACCAGAGCATGCACCACTCTGGCGAGACAGACTGCGGGCAGGTAGGGTCTCATCCTGCGCACCAGGTGGAGCTGGTAAACAGCTGCCCTGGATACAGAATTAACCTGCGCCTCCATGGACAGCTGTGAGTCCAAAATGACTCCCAGGCTGCACACTTGGTCCTTCAGGGGCACAGTTACCCCATTCGGGACCAGGGAGTCCTCCACACCTGCCCGCCTCCTGTACCCCCAAAACAGTACTTCTGTCTTGTCAGGATTCAGTCTCAATCTGGTAGCCGCCATCCATCCTCCAACTGCCTCCAGACACACACCTTCTTAAGTTTCCAATGGGTGGCAGCTGCAACAAGCCCACTGTGCCCTCTGAGCACCCACCCCACCTCACCCCGTTAGATGGTGGTGCAGAGCAAGGTTTGTGTTAGCAGAATCTTCACAGCACCATCTCCTGCCCCTTAGGCTCTTTCTTCCACCAGGTCTTTGCGGAGGTCCCTGGTGGAGGGAGGGGGCTGCCCGGTTCTTCCCAGCTGCAGTACAGTCGCATCCGACAGCAGGGAGGGGTTGATTCCAAGGGTTCCCCCTGTACACAAAAGCATGTGCCCTCTGCTCCCAGTTGTCTTTGGAGGTCCACGTTGTCTTCCCATCAGATGTCAAGGAGATAAATTAACTAGACAACTTTTAGAAGACACCTGAAGACAGCCCCGTACCGGGGAGCTTTTAACGTGTGATGTTTTATTATGTTTCCATATGTGTTGGAAGCCTCCCAGAGTGGCTGGGGCAAGCCAGCCAGATGGCCGGGGTATAAATAATAAAATGACTTTTGTTGTTGTTATTATTATTCATAATTCTTTAAAAATGCTTTTGGACATAAACCACTGCAGGTGCTTTCTTCAAAGGCATGGTATAGAACTTTCAAGATAAATACATAAAACCTTGCCTGGGTGGGGTTTTGCGGCTGCTGCCATTACTGCAGTTTGTTCCTGGCTTTCTCAGCCGGTCCTTTGTCTTGTCCCGCAGGTTAAGCGGAAGACTCCGCCCTGGCCAGCCATTCAGGTGAGCAGACGCCCTTTTCTTTTCCAGGTAAGGTGTAGGCACAGTTGTGTTTGCAGAGGGATGAAAGGCAGGTTGCAGGACTGACTGACTGACTGACTGCCAGCCACACTGGCCCCCCAGTAGGCAGGGTCCCAGACAGGACAGGCAGGGAGACCCCGCTTTCGGGTCTCGGGGACTTCTGAACATCCCTTTTGCCCTCAGCACAGCCAGGGTGCTCTGAGCCTGACAGCTGTAGCCGAGGGGCTTCCTGTGGGGCCAAGCAGAGACCCTTTGTGGCTGCCCAGTGCACAGGTGCATAGCTTCCCCCAACTGAGTGCAGGTGGTGTCCAAGCCATTGGTGATGAATTCGTCGTTTGATGTGGGGGACCCCTCAGTATGGGGAGTCCTGCCCTCCCTGTTCCTGGCGCTTAGCAGAAGGAGAGGCTCCCGGCTTCAGATCTTGGAAGCGTAGATTTGGAAGAGCCATCTTTGCTCTTAACTCCTGTGACCACCTAATCAATTCCAGCAGAGCTCCCTCCCGTCCAAAGGGGCTTCTCAGACCTTTCCTTCTCCACCTGGAGCTGAAAGGGCCCCCGACTGTGGCTCTGCTCTGGAAGGGATCTCAGGTGTGCATAGCTTTTGAAGGACACAAACATGCCCTCCCCACAGTGCAAATGTCCCCTGGTTTGAAACCATCTTTGACGGCTCTTGGGTCTCCGCCAAGGAACCTCAGGGACTGTTGGAAGTGGCATGAACAGGCAAGCCTGAGAAAATCCTCTGCTCTCTCAAACCAACCACAAGCCCCTCCAGTTCCCAGGGCTCATTGCGGGGAGGGGGCTTTGGAGGGGCACTGGGTGGTCTCCCGCTCTGCCTCACTGGCTGCTCTGTGTCTTTGGCGCAGGTAAAGAGGCGCGAGCTCCTCTTCTCAAGACGTTTCCACATCCTTCCGACGAGGCATGTGCCAGCCGACACATCTGCCATTGTCAAGTCGCGAGGACTCGCAGGGAAGCCGCCTCTTTCCAACGGACCGCGTGGCAGCCTTCCTGGGGGGTGGGGAGGGCGGGGGCATCTCCTTTGGTTTGCATGTCCTGTTTCCATCCGTCTCCCCCCCGTGCTTAATTGGGCAGCACCTCATCTCAAGTTTGGACGAGAAGACGTTGTCGAGAGCCGCTTCCAGGCAGAGACCGGCCATGTCTCCCGCGAAGCATCCTCTTCCCTCTCCAGCAGAGCGGTCGCCTCACCACCCACAGGCCACCCCCCGCGTGGTCTCCAGAAAAAGCAGACTTCTTATTCCATGTGGCCGAGTTTCCTTGTGCAAAGTGTGGGCGGAATGCTCCGTTGCGGAATGCGGAAGCCCTTCTGGCCTTCCCCACATGCCATGGATGTCGGGTTCCCTGGGCCGTTGGCGGGTGCAGTTCACACAGGACAGGCTGGGAGGCAAGTGGGATGGATGGCTCCCTGGGAGGTGGGCAGTTCTGGCCCGCACGGCACAGCCCACACAAAGCCCACTGGGATGAATGTGCCAGCATAGCCCCCCCCCCTTATTTCAACAGTGGTTGCGCAGGGAGCATCCTGGAGGATTGTGCCGCATGTTTGAGGGACGGGGTGGGCTGCCGTTTGGCTCTTCCCCCCGGAGTCCCCGAAGATCTTGTGCCGGCTCCAGTGCCAAGAGGAGAGGAGTGGGGCGGAGGGAGACCCAGCCTCTGGAGGCCGCCCTGTGGGGAAGCTTCAGGTGGTGGGGCAGCAGCAGCAGCAGCAGCACAGCTCACTCAGTTGACTCGTAGCATTGGAAGGGACCCACAAGGGGCATCTAGTCCACCCCCTGAATTGCAGAACTCATAAAAAGCAGCTGGTCTTTGAACAAAGAAGATCCTGGCCCACTTGGGTACTTGGCACCAGAAGCCAATCTCTCTACTGCTGGCTTTGGGGTTTGGAAAGTGGCTCTTGGTGGATGGGCCAAAGGCGTAAATGGACGCGAGGGGGGGGGCAGCAAAGGAAGGCAGAGCAATAATCCAGTTGGCACAGAGTGAGCTGCCTGGTTGCCCTGGCTCTCTGGGGGTGGGGAAGAGGGTCCCTGCATGTCTCTCCATGTTCCAGAGAGAGAGGGAGAGAGAGGGGGGGGGGAACAGCCATGTTTGCTGGTGATACAGTCCAACCAAAATATTGTGAACGGGCTGTCAAGCAAGCAAAGGAGTGATGATAACCTGCTGGGTTCTTTGCGAGAATCACAGAACTGTCGAGTTGGGAGGGCCCTCCAAAGGGCATCTAGTGCATCCCCCCCGCAGTGCATCAAGTGCAGCTAAAGCATCCCTGACCCAAAGGGCTCCTGGCCGTCCTTTGGTTTGGTGACGAGCCGCGTGTTGGTGACTCAGGCCGGTGAGGTGTCTGGGGAAGGAAGAGCTGCAAGGGAAACATCTGGGCAAAGCACAAATCCCGGTTGGTGGTGCCTCAGCGTTCGAACGAGGGGGGCTGGGCTTGATCCGCCCCTTTGGGCTGGTTTGGGGGGGGCAGTTCTGCTTCTCTCCTCCCTGGGCATTGGAAGTGGTGTCTCTGACTGCAGAGAACTGTCTAGGGCTACATTTCTTTGGTTCTCGTTAATGCACCAGAAAGGGGATTCGGAGCAGGGTTTTTCCCCGGGGCATTCAGACATTTTGCCAAACACAGGAAAGGCCTTGCTTGGCTCAGACCAGACACCCTCCATCTCACTCAGCAGCCACCCAGAGGCAAAAGACAGCAAAGGAAATCCACCAGCCCCATCCCTGGGCCTGCCACCTCCCCTCATTTCAGCCAGATTGTGCCCCTGCAATAGCCTTCTCCAGACCCACTCCCACCTTTGGACTGGCCCCAGGAGGAGCCCCCTTCTCTGCCCCCCATTACCCACTCCAATACACTGGTCAGTGATGCCCAGGGTGGCGACCAAGTCCCTGTCCCTCAACTCTCCCGGGACTTCCTCTTGCTGCCAGCCTGTGTGGAAAGTGACCTTCTATGCTGTGCTCCTTGGTGCCCCCCCCCAAAAAAAAACTCTGCACATTTTAGCCTACCAAGTGGTCTGGCAGACGCTTCAACATACCAGAGCCTGCTCTTAGTCTTCCTGAGAGTGGCAGGAGATGGAGAGGCAATCAGTGGCCATGGGGCTGCAGGCCCTCTCTGCCTCCCCAGCAGCCGCGGGCAAGGGGGCACGCTCCGAGGCCTTGGCTGGTCTCAGCCTGGCAGAAGCTCTGCGTGGGGCTGAGCCAGGGTTTCCCAGGGCTGCCTGCACAGCCTCTGCATCTCTCGCTTCCCCTGTGACAGCAGCCGGGGCTGCTTCCGGTTGTGGAAATCCCCCTGGCCGTGAGAAAAGGGGTCTGGGGAGGCGGGTGGGAGAAGGGGGCCGAGCCCTTCTCCCTGCAGGGGCCGTTGGGGAGAGGCCAGGAAGCTCCTGCAACCATCTTCTGCCTGTCACAGGAGCCGGAGCTCTGCCAGAGCTCCCTTGTCAGGCTTGCTGGGGGCCCAGCACCGCCTCCTGCTCTGCCTGGACCTCTGAGGCTCCCCTGGTTTCTGCCTCTTCTCCAGGTGCAAAGCTGCTGCTCTTGCAGTTCAGGCAAAACAGCCTCCAGCTGCCGGGCTTCCAGCTTGGGCTAAAAGAGAGGGATTTGTCCCAGCCTGCCGGACGTCCCCACACCCGCCTTGGGACACCATCCTAAGATTGTTATTAAGAATAACAGAACCGCAGGGCGGTGTACAATATAAAAACTCAAAAATATGTACCATAGTAACAAGCAAAACCAATGCACACACACACCAGTTTAAAAGGCCATTGATTGCTCCCTGCAGTCAATAAAGAATGCTTCCAATTACCAGGAGGGGAGAGGGTTCTCCTACTCGCGAGTTTGTGGGTATCTAGTTTGCCACTGTGAGCGCAAGAGGCTGGCCGGATCCCTTTGGTCCAGCAGGCTCTCCTCGTGGTCTGAAAGTGGGGCTTGGACATGCACCCTCTTTCCAAGGCACTCTTCACTTGCTGCTGTCCCGTCGGCCGGGGCCTCCTTTGCAGCTGCTCCCCGAGGGCTCCCGCTGTCCCTGTGAGGTGGCTGCCTCCACCACCCGGGACTGCAGGCCTCACCGCTGCATTGCCAAGGCCTCCATGCCTTACTGTGGCTCAGAGTGGGGGTCCCAGAAGGCTCTCTGCGGCTGGTGGGCTCCAACTGAGAGGGGGCAGGATTGGTTTATGGTGTTGGTGGCCAGGCTGGCCGGCCATTATGACCCCCGTCCTCCTGCTCCTTGCCTTTCATTCCTCACAGCAACAGCGACTAGTTTTTCCTTAACCTCTGCAGGGCCACCTCTGGGCTCCTGGAAGCAACAGGGAAAGACTGGATGATAGAATTGCAGGGTTGGGTCATCTAGCCCTGCAATGCCGGAATCTGTTTGCCCATTGTGAGGCTTGAACCCACAACCGTCAGAGTCTCAGGCTTTACAGACTGAGCTATCCCAGGGAAGGTGCCACGTGGGTGAAGGGAAGGAGGGGCTGCTTGTGTTTTCGTTCCAGGTGGGTCAGTGGCTCCCCCAATTCTCTTGCTACTGGGGATCAGCAACAGAGCTGCTGTTTTTTTGTGGGGGGGGGGTCAGCTGCCTGTTCATATATTCCCACATCACGTCCCCCCAGAACTGCAGTTGGACTCTGTCTCTAGCGGCATCTGTTGCCCCTGAATCTGACCTTCCCTCAGAACAAGCATCCATGTGCAAGGTTACGTCCTGGATCTTTTTGCGAAGCAGGGGTGGCAAATTGCCAGCCCCCTCCCAAGCCCCTGGAGACCAGGGATGGTGGGCTTTGGGTGGGCTCCTGGGGGAGAAAGCGAAGCGTCTGAGCAGGGACCCCCTTGCAGATGCCTCCTGCGTTTTCAAAGTCACCCGGCAGCCAGGTGGAGAAGGCCTTGGCAGGCAGACTTGGCGCCTGTGCCAGCCCAGAGCCCCTGGTGGCAGCCGGCCCTTCGCCCGGGGGCTTTCATCACAGTGACTCGAGGCCCAGGGAGCTTTGCCAAGTGCAAACAGGTGTGGGGAAGGTGACCGGAAAGGAAGTCGAGGCAGCGGGAGCTTAGAGGGCAGCAACTGTGCCAGGGCTCTGGGGCTGGGGTGGCCGAGAGGAGCTGCTGCTGCTGCTGTCAGTTGTGCATGGACCCAGTTCCACCAGTCCAAGGTTGCCAGCTCCCAACCCCTCAGGCCTGCGCTCTGCAGATACCTGGCTAGTGAAAAGGAACTGTCTCATTTTGCAAAGCCTGACAGAGGCCTCTGGATATTAGTTGCTGGAAATGGCAGGTGGGGAGAGGACGGGGTCCTGCTTGTGGGCATCAGGTTGGCCACCGTGAGGGCCTGGGAAGTGGCTATGATGTTGGAGGGGAGAATGTGGCCGGGTGTTTCTGTGGAGCTGCAGGAGAGGCAGTGGGAGGGAGACCAGATGGGAGAGAGTTTCCTCCCAGGTGGGAAGCGGAGGCGAATCAGCCGGATGCCAAGTGGGGGCCATGATAAGTAGGAAGCGATCAAGGGGGCCCAGGCCCCTGGTGCTTAAGGTGGGCATGTGCCTGATCTCAGGTGCTGCTTGCCACACTGGGTAGCCAGGGCTTGTGCCATGCCGCTGGGGCCCCCCTGAGTTAGCCAGGCTGTGAGGGAGGGCTGTGCTGTTCAGGTCATTGGGGATCTGTGCCCTCCCAGAGCTCTGAGTCCTGGCACCTGCTTCCTGCCAGGGCCTCAGTTGTGAGCACATTGGAGAGGCCATGTGGGGATCTGTGTTTTCCAGCCCAGGCTAGATCTCAAGCGATCGCTAGGACTGCAACAGACGACGGACGCTTCCTTGTCCGCACACCCGAATCTGTCTGGGTGCTAGTTGACGGCCAGTGTGAGGACCCTTGTAAGAATTCCAGTTTACAACCACTTCCCCGCTTCTCATGTCTGTGTGTCTGCCTGCCTGTGTGCGCGTGGGAGCACACACTTGAATGTACGAATGTGAATCCTGGGCATGAGTGTTTTCATTTTACACAAAAAAAAGGTTGAAATACCTGGGAGATTCTGTACATGTTGGGAAGACGTCTAATTGCAAGCTGTAAACTGGAAGCCACGTTCTCTCATCTGCCAAATATTTAATAAAACGAGTCCCGTCCATCTCACTTGGTGTGTGCCCTGAATTTTCGGTGGGACCAGGCGGGTGATCTGAGCAAAGCCCCAGGGACACAAAGCCCCCTTTGCCTGCCCCTTCCTTGGCTGCTTCCGCTTGGGAAGAGGCCTCCGCAGGTGGGCAGGCGCTGGCTTCCTGGTGCACCTTGCGCTGCCTGCGCTCTCTCCTTCCCTCTCCTGCTCTCCTCCTCCTCCTCTTCCCCTTTCTGGCTCCAGGCGCCTCCTCTCCAGACCCCCGAAAAAGCCAAGGCCCAGAGCCCTGTTTGTCCTGGCCGGATAATGAGGGGACGCCACAAAGGTCCCCCGCGGTGTCATTGAGCCTGTGTGTGTCGGCACCTAATGAGGCTGGCGGCCGACTCGGAGGGTCAAGGGAGGCCTGGGCTCCTCCTGGGGCGCTGGGGTCAGCGGGGAGCAGGGAAGGTGAAGGGGTCAGGCTACCTCTGGAGATGGACAAATGGGGGTGGGGGTATTAATTCTAGAGCCCCGTCTGGGCCGGGAGGAGGACAAAGGAGGAGAGGGGGCTGGCCTGCCCTTCCTGCCACTGGTTGCCTTCCAGTCCTGGTGCGTCTGGGGCAAGGCGGGGAGAATGTAGGGACCTCTCCCCCCATGAGAGTAATTTTATAGGCATGTACTTTATACCCGGGGACGCGGGTGGCGCTGTGGGTTAAACCACAGAGCCTAGGACTTGCCGATCAGAAGGTCGGCTGTTTGAATCCCTGCGACGGGGTGAGCTCCTCCCATCGTTTGGTCCCTGCTCCTGCCAACCTAGCAGTTCCAAAGCACGTCAAAGTGCAAGTAGATCAATAGGTACTGCTCTGGCGGGAAGGTAAACAGCGCTTCCGTGCGCTGCTCTGGTTCGCCAGAAGCGGCTTAGTCATGCTGGCCACATGACCCGGAAGCTGTACGCCGGCTCCCTTGGCCACTAAAGTGAGAGGAGCGCGCAACCCCAGAGTCGTCCACGACTGGACCTAATGGTCAGGGGTCCCTTTACCTTTTTTTTACTTCATACCCAGTCAGACCAGTATAGCTCAGTATTGTCTACACTCTCCAGGATTTGGGTCCCTCTCAGCCTGACCCAGAGGGCTGAACCCAGGACATTCTGCTTCAAGGTGGGTCCTTTGCTGCTGAGCTACAGCCCTTCCCGGCCAAGGCCTTGCACGCCCAAATGCTTATCTTGGGACTCGCAAGGACGCTCAGGTGTTTGCCATGGGGGGCTCTGGGGGCCTGTGGTGTAGTGGCAAATCCTGACAGTGCTGGCACTCTTCATGCTGAGACCCATGCCCAGGCAGTGGCTGCAACAGCGAGGGCTGGACCAATGCAGACATTATGGCCAGTTCCCCGCACCCTTCAACTCTACACCCCACACCTGATGAAGAGCTCTGGTGGACTCAGAAACTTGTTCACTACTTGCTCGCTATTGTTGTTGTTGCCCACCATCCCAATCTCTGAGCGATGCAGGATTCCAGAATTCCAGGGACTTGCCCAGGATTAATGTTTCCTTATGGTGCTGGAGGAGACTCTTGAGAGTCCCATGGGCTGCAAGAAGATCAAACCTCTCCATTCTTCAGGAAATCTGCCCTGAGTGCTCACTGGAAGGACAGATCGTGAAGCTGAGGCTCCAAGACTTTGACCGCCTCATGAGAAGAGAAGACTCCCTGGAAAAGACCCTGATGTTGGGAAAGATGGAGGGCACAAGGAGAAGGGGACGACAGAGTATGAGATGGTGGGACAGTGTTCTCAAAGCTACGGACATGGGTCTGACCAAACTGCGGGAGGCAGTGGAAGATAGGAGTGCCTGGCGTGCTCTGGTCCAGGGGGTCACAAAGAGGCGGACACGACTAAACGTTTCCTTTGGAAATGAGGCACAGTGGAGACTTCAGAGTCTTTATAATATATGGCTTATTTGGGTCAGCGAGTGGAGGCTGTTGATCCCAGCCATGTCTGAAGCAGCCGTCCCTGGTGGACCCCTTTTGGGAGAGAAGCCCCCCTGCTTGGGCTGGTGGTCCTGCTGTTTACAAATGCCCAAGAAGAGCTGCTTTGAGGCTTCCTCTGTCCCGGATGCTTTAGTTGGGATTCCTGCATTGCAGGGGGTTGGACTAGATGACCGCTGGGGGTCCCTTCCAGCTCTATCCTGCCCAGCTTTCGCCTTTTGGAGACGGCTGTAACTGCAGCCACAGGGAGCCCAAGGGCTTTGTGCTACAGGCCCAGGTGGCTGTTTGGGTAGGATCGCTGCCGGCAGAGTCCAGCTATGCTGCCGGCGGAGTCCAGCACAGTGGAGCTATTAGCTGTCATTAGCAGCCCTGGGAAGCAGGCAACGGCCTGGCGGTCCCCCTGGCCTGTTGGGGCCAGGAACAGCAGGCCAGCAAATGGGGAGGTCAAAGGGCAACCTGCCGCTAATCTGAGCGGATTTGGCGGCGGTGGCTCCCGGGTCAAAGGTCAGAGAGGGCAGCTCCGCGTGGTGCCAGCCCCGCCTGGGCTGGGGCATGAAGGGCTTTGCCCCACGACTGAGCCAGGATGCCCATGGATTTGCCGTGCCAAATTCGGCTCTGCAGTCCCCCTTCCTGGCACTTGGCATCTGCTGGCGACTGATGCCTTGGGAGTCTCAGCACAGGCAGACTGATGCCTTGGGAGTCTCAGCACAGGCAGACCATACAGAAGTGGAGAGCTCTCATTAGTCAGTTGGCTTAAAGGTGTGTTTGTTTATGATGTTGCTTTCCCTGCCATTCTCCCATTGTATGTTTCCGAGCACAATTCAGAGTGTTGGTGCTGACCTTGAAAGCCCTAAACTGCCTCAGTCCAGTATACCTGAAGGAGCGTCTCCTCCCCGGATGCCAGGGTCCAGCTCCAAGGGCCTTCTGGCAGTTCCCTCCCTGCAAGAATCGAGGTTACAGGGAACCAGGCAGAGGGCCTTCTCGGTGGTGGCACCCGCCCTGTGGAACGCCCTCCCATCAAGGAATGTCAAGGAAATAAACAACTATCTGACTTTTAGAAGACATCTGAAGGCAGCTTTTAATGTTTGATGTTTTATTGTGTTTTTAATATTATGTTGGGAGCCGCCCAGATGGGCGGGGCATAAATTATTATTATTATTATTATTATTAGGAACTGTGGAGTTGAAAGGCACCCCAAGGGTCATCTAGCCAACCCCCCTGCAGTGCAGGAATTGCAATTACGTAAATCATCCCTGGCAGGAGGAGCTCAAGGCGGCAGCAGATGCCAGGTGAGGGGAAACAGAGGCAGCAACTGCCTTCCAACGTCTCTTGCACCTGAGCCAACATCCCTTGCCTGGATCCCTCCAGGTGCGCAGAACAAGAACAAGGGCACAGGTGAGAATTAGGAACCTGTCTTCTCCTGAGTCAGGTCCATCTTGCTGAGTTTGGCTGGCAGCAGTGGCTCTTTGGGGTTCCAGTCAGGAGTCCCTCCCAGCCCTACCTGGAGAGGCCAGCAGGATTTGTTTTTTTTTTTTTTTTTAAGATATTTATTCAGATTTTACAAAAAGAAAGCATAAGTTTACAAGATAGAGAAAATTATAACAACAATTAACAAACTAAAATTATAACAACAATTAACAAACTAAAAAAAACACACATAGCAAAAGATTAAAAAGAGTACAAAATACAAAAAACATGCAGCTAAAAAAGAAATTTAAAAAGAAAAAACATCCATTTTTCAATATCTTTGGATTCATTTACTTGTTTCCTTGACCTCCTCTCACCTCCCCTTTTTGTATTCCCATTCACAAAGACATTTCAGCAAATCCTTACCCTCTTTCAACCATCTTTACTCTATATCTTAACTTATTATAACTATATATTTTCATCCATTATCAATCCATACTTGCATATTCTTGTTAATCTTAATACCAATACCACTTATTTTCAATCCAACATCATTTTAGCATTCATTAATTTTACAGTATTTCTGCAAATAGTCTTTAAATTTCTTCCAGTCTTCTTCCACCAACTCTTCTCCCTGGTCTCAGATTCTGCCAGTCATTTCTGCCAGTTCCATGTAATCCATCACCTTCATCTGCCACTCTTCCAGTGTGGGTAAATCTTGTGTCTTCCAATACTTTGCAATAAGTATTCTTGCTGCTGTTGTTGCATACATAAAGAAAGTTCTGTCCTTCTTTAACACCGATTGGCCTACTATGCCCAAGAGGAAGGCCTCTGGTTTCTTCGGGAAGGTATATTTAAATACCTTTTTCATTTCATTATAGATCATCTCCCAGAAAGCCTTAATCTTTGGGCACGTCAGGATTTGAACCTGGGACCCTCTGCAGGCCAGGCAGATGCTCTTCCAGTGAGCTACAGCCTTTCCCCAAAATGGTCTCCTAAGACAACCTCCTGCAGGTGTTGAATTCTCCACTTTCACCAGCCTGATTTATTCCAACTTATTTATTATCAAATTCCCTACTTGCCTCTCGCCATGAGGTCCCAGGGGCTTGTTATAACAATATAAAAACACAACATTGCAACTGGTTAAAACAATCTGCAGTCAGAAAACTAGGGTGGGCACTGATCTCTGTTTGCCGCCTCCCCTTTGGACCACCTTTTCAAAGTGGTTGTGTGAATCAGGAAAAGGGGCGCAGAATCCGGCTGAGGAAAGTGGGGTGAGCGAGGAGCCCCCCTGAAGTCTCCCTGAATGTTCCAGCTGGGAGAGGACCCCCCAGCTGAGCCTGACTGGGCCGAGGTGGAGAAACTGGGTGGCCGGCCTGGGCCGGGGGGCCTGAGGGGGGGTCTTGAGGTGGGTGCCCCTGGTGCCAGCCTCTCCTCTTCCCAAGAAGAGGAACTTGTGGGCATCCCATGAAGCTAAACGATGGAAGTGGACTATGCAGAATTAGATAAACTAACAGGAAGGATTCGAAACCTGCGGGACCAGAGAAGACTGGAGTAAATTTATGGACTATTTGAAAAGTAATTGTGATGAACAGATCATGCCAGTAGGTTTGCAAGAAGTTTGGTAAGGTGAATTATTTGGAATATTGCAAAAA